GAAGAGGTTAAGGCAAGACTCTTGCCTTTGCGTTTCATCCAAATGGCCCCTTATGTGCTCCAAGCACAGTGAAATTTAAAGCAATCAGTTTTTACAGCTGCTTTGCAATAGAGGCAACTCCATTAACCACATTTTACAGATGGGAAAACAGAGGCAGAGAAAAGTAAGTGTGACTTGCTCAAGACCACACAGTGAATCAGTGGCGTAGCTTTTGGATAAGCATCATGGAGCTCAGGTTCCTATTCTTGTGCTCATGCTTCAAAGTTATTTCCGATTGTAATAACAGGTTGTGTAAAGTGCCCAGTGCACAGACAGCATGTGTGCGCCTAATTTTGTTTGGCTCATTTCTAAAATACAGCTAGCTCCAAGGTGAGAGACAGCAGCTCATTAATGGTTCAGATTGTGCAATAATATAGAATGGGAAGTCAAGGATATTGTACTCAATTATGTAATTACCCATGTTGAAAGCTGGCCAAGATACCACCCACACTCTCGCAGAGAGAATTGCAGCTTCTTTAATGGTACCAGGGGAGACAGTATTGTTCAGAGGGTTAGAGCTGGAGACTCTTGAGTTAGGACCCAGGTTCAGTTCTCAGTTTTTACTCTTGTCTCATTGCATTGCCTGGGGTAATTCATTCCCTGACCCAGAGTGATTTCTAACAAGGCTTTCACTGGAAGCAACTATGTGAAATGATAGAAAACACAGTTACAGGCACTGCTTACCACACAGCATGTGCTCCAGCTTTGTCTCCTTATATTTATCAGGGACCACACTCTGCCTGGAATACCATACAAGTCCATAGAGACATCTAATGGCTTCAAGCAAACAGGTTGCGGCAGAAATCACACTTCTCTTGGAAATTCCCATTTGAGTGGAAAAGATGTCTGGTTTCCTTCTCTGCATGTTCTGCCATTTCATGCACCAGGCCAGGTCTTCTCACCCCAGCGCACAGTATTTATGTGCTTTTCCATCTGAGCCATGATCTGCAAAGGAGTGCAGGGAAAGCAAATCTCATGTAGGGGTGTTTCCGTTCGCATAGACTTCTGCTGCTGAGAGCTGGACGCAAGCAAGTGCAGGTTCAGAACCATTCTGTCTCCCTTGCTTGCACAGATACATTCAAGCCTCACCTGGGGAGCTCAGCAGAAACATATGTTCCAGGTAAGGAGCCAAACCATCCTCCTTGTGCAGCAATAGGAGTGGTAGGAAAACAAGAGTTAACATGTCACTGTGCTGGGCATAGCAGCACAGTCAATAACTTGCCAGCTCCTTGGTCATCATCATTCCAGCAACTGAAATCTGCTAAGATATTCTTGATACTGTGTTGATTTTCATCAGCTTGGCTGTTTCTAAATATGATGCTTTGCCTCTCTGGACAGGCATCAAGGGAGCATACCAGGTACATGTTTCAGAGGCCTAAAAAGAAGCGAATTTTCTTGGTCCATTGATTTTCTTTCTTTGAGATGATCTATACCAGGCCCAGTGCTTTGTTGGGAGAAATTAGAAGCCAGGCAGTACGGAAGATAAAAGAGAGAATAGGAACTGCTCGTAGCTGGATGGGAAATGGTTTTCTGAGCCTGTGAGCACTTATGAAATCTCAAAATGTTTTCCTGTTTTGCATTGAGACCAAACCGGGAACTTTCAAAACAGTTCTTGAAAAGCAAAAGAAAGACACCCAACCACAGCTAACAGGCTAGCGATCCAAGCATTCACCTGGGATTTAAGAGAGACAGATTAAAGTGCCTTATCCATCAGGCAGAGCTGGGTCTGGAGCCCGTATCACCCAGAGGTGAGCACCTTAATCACCAGCTTATTGGTTATTTGCAGCTTGCTAGCTCTGATTTTACCAGAAACCATCTCAGTGAAAGCTTGATTAAAATAGATGCACCGCTCCAAAAAGCTTTGGTTTTTATGAGTAGGCCTTTGCCAACAAATACAAAGAAAAAAGAAAAGCTTGGTTGAAAAATTCCTGATCTGCTCTGGACATTTTCTCAGTTTTTTAGTTTTCTTCCTTTGTGCTCTTGTACACCCAGACTTGGTTATATTTCCTCCCGATCAAGTTTCCGTACAAGCTAGAAGGTAAGCACCAAGCTTCACCAAGTAGATATACCAATCTGCCTTGCTTCTTAAGCTGGACGGCCTCCTTGCAGGAATAAGAGAGGAGGTCACTTCCCTTGCCTATCCAGATGTAGGCCTCTCTGCTATGTGATCAGCTGCCAACTATCTCTTGTGCTGTCTGCTCGTTGCTGCTGGGGTCCTGAGACTTCATTTCATATCTCAGCATCATCTTCAAGAGCATCAGCTTGTCACTCCATCCCCAGCACGTCCTTCTGCCTTGTAAGAGTCTTTTGATAAATGAGGTGGGTCGCTCCCAACGAGCATATGGCGAGATCAGGAGGATTAGCCAAGGGAGCTAGGCTCCTGCACAGCCTCTTTGCTGTATCTCAGCAGAGCGCTGGTGATTTTTCGATTGCATTATGGAGCATGCACAAGCTACCTGCCCACCCCAAAAGAGCCTCATGAGGATTGGGTGAAGTGGAAGCAAGCAATTCCTAATGAAGCCGGTGAAGAGAACAGCTAATGGCAGAAAATGACCGCCCACCACGTACTCCTTATTTCCTGACCACGTCTGAGTCATTTTGTGACAATAAATCAAGTGGAGGAGCAACAGGGCTGTGAGTGTCCAGACACAGGGCCTGGCCAAGGTGCTGCCTGTTGATTTGCATGGGAGCGGAGGGCTCCTTCTAGTTTTAGGGGTCATGCGGGGATTGGGGTAAGGCTGCCTTTTTTTCCTTGCAGCTGACCATCGTGCCCTTGTGCTAACTGTTTGCCATCTACGCTCACCTCTGCAAGCCTGGCCAACATGGCCAAACAGCAGCAGCTAGTGCTCCATCTTGTAGGATAACACGATGCTTATCTGAATGCAGAGACATAAACGGTAGGAGATTGAATGCAAATGTAGCATCTAGCAGCCCTGTGCTTTCTCGCAAACTATTGATTAGGTGTCTGATTTGCTTTCCCCTGATAATAGGCCATAGGAAGAAGCCAATAGGGCGAGGAGAAAGAAAACCTGTCATGATCATTCGATGCAGCTGGCGAGCCAATAGGGAGACACAGCCAGCCGATTGGGTTAGAAGAAAACAAGGGTTGGGGATCTGTCTTAGCAACAGCAGAAAACAACTCTTTCCCCCTCCCCTCCATGCCCACAGTGCAGCCACACTGGAAAGTTCCTGATTATGTTTCTTAATGCTTTTGTTTCGCTGAAACCCAATTTGAACGTGACTGGTTTGGCTCACGGACTCGCCATCTTTACCTGTTCACTCCGTGATCCTTAACAGAGGACGGATGAGTTTCTTTTCCTTTTTTTTCCTCTTTTTCCTGGCCAACTAGTTATTCTTCTAGTTACCTTAATTTCGAATTCCTTTGTGTCTGCAGTGGGGACTGAAAATGAAGGTGGGTTTTGATCCATTTGCAAAAGAGAAAACAATACAAAACAGGGACCCACAGTAGGACTCCATTTTCTCTGGTATCTGTTAAATCTCAAAGGAAGCAGGCTGGTGCAGTGCTCAGAGTTGGCAGTCACGGTTGTTTGCTCAGCTTCTTCCAGCAACTCTCTGAGTAAACTTGGGCAGATGATTTAACCTCTCTGGCCTTGCTTTCCCTGGAAGTCCTCCTGGGTCTGCTCTGCAGCATACAAAATCCAGATCGCCCCGCAACACAGCTGATGCCTAAAAGTCCCAGCCGCAGAGCTTGCAAAGTGCATTGAGGTCCTCTGACGATAGAGGCATTCCCTGCAGAGCAACGTCTGCTGAATAACGTGGAAGTCACCCCTTTCGGGCAGCATGGGTGAGATCTTACGGTCCTTATAGTGAAGGTACAGAGCATGGGGACGCAGCACAGTCTAGTTGATCAGTCGGTGAATAGGGAATCAGGAGAAAGCCGATCTAAGCCCAGTGCCACCAGGACCTTGCTGTGTGGCTTTAGGTAATTTATTCCAGCTCCCCACACCTGTTTTATCACCAACCTGTAGTTTGTCTTTTTTAGTTAGATTGGAAACTGTTTGGGGAGGAGGGCAGTTTGTGCTACAGCTCTGTATAGCACAATGACACCTCAGTTTCTTGCAGGAAATGGAAGCAGTATCCTGAGAGTATACCAAGGTACAGGGTTTTTTTTTTCCCCGTTTAGTCAAGGGAAAATACAACAAGCAATTAAAACCAAAACCCGTCTGAGCATTTGCAGGAAATCAAACTTTGCTGTTCTCTGAAAATGACCTTCATTGTCCTCTCCTCACCTGGTGCCTTCCCCAGCTCATAAGCATTCACACTTTTATCTCACTATTTGCATGCTGATAATGGACATAGATTTTGTTAGTGTTGCATCTGTCGAGACGACGGGTACAATAATAGAAGCACCATCGGGACCAATATATATTGGTCTGAGGAGTGTGTCCAATAATGTCTAGGTCAGGGAGCCTTTAACTGCAGAGTCAGGGAATTTAGTCAGCTGTCATCACTTCTTAATTAAAAATAGCTGAGACGCGCTTGCATTCCAGTACTGTGTGTTAGCTCATTTGTCATCTGTCCTCTGCTCACCAACAAGCCACCCCTTCTTCTCACCCCCAAAAGAGAGACGATGCGCGGAAACTTAGCAGGTACAAAGACAACAGAGCAGGTTTTAGGTGATGCCATATATGAGAGAGGAAAATACCTTTGCATGCCACACGTACCTCACCTGTGGGACTCACTGCTGTGAGATGACATTGAGGCAAGGGTTTAGCAGGATTCAAGGACTAGGATTTTTAATGGCATGGTATAACACTATAGATAGATAGATCTATCTGTCTATCTATCTATCTATCTGTATGTATATGTGTGTGTGTGTGTGTGTGTATGTATATCTATATCTATATATATATATATATAAAATGATGGATGCCCACACTCAGGCTTCAGAAAAAAGGCACTCAGTTGCTGCCTGAGGTTTGGGAGGAAAAAAAACTTACCTTATGAGCAGATTAACCCACAGTTTTCTACCCTAGCCATTCTGCACGGCCAAGGACAGAAGAGACGGTGGGTTTGGTCCGGTCGGGAGTTCCCGGTCTGATGTACATAACTGATTGGATTCCTCGCTCCCCACTAAATGAAATTTTGCAATAGTGCTGATAGCTATCACCTTCCTGTAGGATTCACTAATTTATCTGCAAAATTCCTGAGGGGACAGAGAGATGGGAGGTTGCGCCAAGGTCCAGGAGCTGCAGAGGGAGATAAATAGCATTTTGAAATGAAAATGCAAGCCTGTTTCCTTCCCTGCTTCTCCCCCTGCCTCCAAAAGAGAGAATACTTTGCTTTGCTGAGATGCTATTTAACAATTTAACACTTCAAGGCATGGGGATTTTTTTTTTCCTGGCTTCTCTCTCTCCAAATAAAGTACTGGTGGAAATGTATTGGGCCTGCTTTGAATCTGTTACCAAATTCTGTTGAAAGCCGTTCCTGTTTTACACCAGTGAGAGTGAAAAGAGAATTATATCTCTTCTGTTTATTATACCCCAAAAAGTGATCGTTTGGATCCTTTTGATACCAAAATAATAGAGCCAGATTCATGCCTGGTATAACTTTTCTAAAATCAATGGAGTTACGTAATGGTAAATGTGACCCTCTGTCTTCAAATATTATAATTTATTACATTTATTACATTTATTATGGTAGCACTGAGGGACTAGCTGAGAACACGAAGCCAGTTTAATAGGAGCTGGGCACACAGAGCAGGAGAAAAATTCCTGTGTCAGTCAGGAATAATGTAACAGCCAAATAATTTAATATCCTCTGATGAGCGAGTGGCTAAACTCTGCTGCTTCCCATTCTGGAAATTACAAGAAAACTTCAGGAAATTAAATGCTCAAATCCTATTGAATCTCTATGCCATTTTTGGCACCTAATTGTCATAGGCTTTTTTAAAAATCCAAGCCTCAACTGCTTAGCAGTCCAATCAAGTATTGGAAGAGGGCGTTAATGGTAATCCAGTTACAGTTCACTTAAACCTCTGGGAAGTCGACCATGTATTTTCCAGGAGTCAACTAAAGTGCCTCATGTATGGCACCCAAAGCAGAACAGGAGTGAGAGAATCATCGAATCATAGAAAACAAGGTCTGGATGGGACCTCGGGAGGTCACATCTAGTCCAGCCCCCTGCTCAAAGCAGGACCAGCCCCAACTAGATCATCCCAGCCAAGGCTTTGTCTAGCCGGGTTTTGAAAACCTTCATGGATGGAGACTCCACCACCTCTGTGGGGAGCCTGTTACAGTGCTTTGCTATCCTCATAGTAAATACATTTTTTCTAATATCTAACCTGAACTTCCTTTGCTTCAACTTGAGACCGTTGCTCCTTGTTCTGTCATCTGCCATCACTGAGAACAGCCCAGCTCCATCCTCTTTGCAGCCCCCCTGCAGGTAGTTGAAGGCTGCTATTAAATCCCCTCTTCCTTTGCTGCCCAGTGCAGTAGTCTGGGAGCTGACCTTGCCTGTGAAGACTGTGGCAAAGAAAGGGCATTGCTCACTTCCGCCTTTTCTGCATCCCCCATTCAGTAAGGGACCCGCACTTTCCCTGATCCTCCTCTTGCTACCAATATACTTGTAGAAGCCCTTCTTGTTCCTGTTCACATCCTTTGCTAGCTGCAACTCCAATTGCGCTTCGGCCTTCCTGGCTTCATCCCTGCATGCCCAAGCAATGCTCTTATATTCCTCCCTAGTTACTTGTCCAAGTTTCCACTTTTTCCTTGTTGTGATTTAGTTTTCTGAAGATTCCCTGCAAAGCCGAGCTGGTCTTCTGCTGTACTTGCTAGTCTTCCTGCGCATCGGGGTGGTTTGTTCCTGCACTCCCAGGCTTCTTTCAAGTGCAGCCAGCTCTCCTGGACTCCTCTCCCCCTCAGTCTGGCTCTCCAGGGGATCCTGCCCATCAGTTCCCTTAGTGACTCAAAGTCTGCTTTTCTGAAGTCCAGTGTCCTTACTCTGCTGCTCTTCATCCTTCCTTTCCTCAGGATCCTGAACTCAAGATCCTGAACTCAATCAATTTGTGGTCGCTGCTGCCCAGGTTGCCATCCATTACCACCTTCCCCACCAATGCATCCCTGTTTGTGAGCAGCAGGTCAAGAAGAGCACGGCCCCTAGTTGGCCGCTCCAGCACTCTCCAAAATCTTCCTGGACTGCTTGCGCACTGCTGTATTGCCCTCCCAGCAGATGTAATGGTGATTGAGGGTCCCCCATGAGAACCAGGGCTACTGATCTGGAAACACGTGCTAGCTATTTAAAGAAAGCCTCATCCACCACTTCCTCCGGGTCCAGTGGTCTATAGCAGACTCCCAGCACGACATCACCCGTGTTGCTTTCCCCTCTGCCTATAACCCAGACTCTCAACAGGCCTATCTCCAGCTTCATACCAGGGCTCTGCGAAATCATATTGCTCTTTTACATAAAGTGCAACTCCTCTTCTCCCCCCCCGCCTGTCCTGCCTGAACAGTTTGTACCCATCCGTGATGGTGCTCCAGTCATGCAAGCTATCTCATCGTTCTCTGCTATTCCAATCATGTCGTAGTCTGGTGACTCTGCAAGGACTTCCAATTCTTCCTGCTCGTTTCCCCGGCTCTGTGCATTCATATACAGGCACCTGAGATAACTAGTTGATTGTCTTGATTCCTCAGGAAGCATGAGAGCACCCCGCTGTTGCCTCCTCCTGCCTGGACTTCTTCCAGGTCTCCCTGGATTCATGCAGCCCATCAGTTTTCTGGATTTGTCCCTAGCTTTCCCTGCTATTACATGGAACTGTGGGTGGGAATGTCCCCTAAGTATTTACTTAAGGAAGGTGACACACATTTAAGAGGATGAGAACCGACATTATTTTAGCTCCTCCTGAGTCTTTCTAGGAAGTTGTCCTTGTTGCTGGAAATGGAGCTCTATTATGAAAGTGAAACCACTCTGTCCAGAAGTACATCACTCATTCACTCAACAAAATCAGCCCGTTGCCACTTGAACTGAAGGAGAACTACTTCAGCCAGTACTAGAGGCAGCTCCTATATCCACTGTATGGTATGGATACTGTAGTGATAACAACTATAATTTACAGAAGCTCCCAAACAGGAGACGGAAGGAGCTGGAAATTGGGAAGTGGTCCATCAGTTGTGTAACTAGTTAAGTTATTGAATTAGAAAGAGACAGAAGGCTTACAGAGGTTGCCTATATCTCCGCTATAAAATTCACTGGTGCTTAGTTCTGCTCATCCCTTGTATACCTATATCTATTAAACCCAGTAATCATTACAGCTACTGGAGGATGATTTTGTTAGCTCTGGCACACAAATCCCACTTTGCAGGCAACTTTGCTGGGAGTTTTACATGCAGATCGTGTATGTGGTACAACCTGCCTGACACCCTTGGCAGACTGTGTTATATATCTCCTTTAGTGCTAAATGCACACACATTATGGAAAGGCAGAGCTTGTACTCATTAACCACTTCCCTCCATTCTGTGCGTCGTTGGAGTGCATCGTAAGGGGACAAGGAATAATTGGTAGGGAAATGTCATGGAGCATCTATTGGCTTTGACTTAATCTTGTTCTGAGTTTTTCTGCTCTGCCAAAGAGCATCTCAAGGTGCACTAGCCCAGGGAGAATGAAGCAATGAGGAAAGGTTCCCAGGGGCCCCTGCTATCAATTTTAGAGCAGATCTAGGACAAATTTAATGACAGACAGGTGACAGTGCTTGAGGGTGACAAGCTGTACAAACATTTCAGAACCTCAAACAAGTTTTGTGTAAATTTGGCTTTTCAGAACTTCATCTGTGGAGCTCAAAGCACACGACAAACATTAAGCCTCATAACCCTTAGGTGGGGTAAATTAACCTCAGGTTATCACTGTAAATTTTTTAACTATAAGGCCTCCGTCTTCTTTGCTTACAGGTCCTCCTTAACAAAAATCAAAACCCGTAAGTTATTCCTTCTTAGAATCAGAAAATAACACTCCTGCAGTATATCTCCACTGAATCAAAGTCCTTGTCTCCTCTTCTCTTCAAGGAACCCTAGAGGCTTCTTACCTTCATGTCAGTGGAGACATTTTCAGATTGCACAAAACTTTTTTCAGACTAATTAAGCTCTGATGACTTCAGCTGTATTTGCAGCTTCTGATTAAGGCCATGATACTAATTAAACTCTTGAATGATTAAAAATGCAAATAGTCAGACCTGTGTTCAGCAGCAGACTTTCATTTCCATGCTTCAGGACAGCAGAGGGAATATTTTGGCATCATCACTGGTGGTGACAGTCTTTTTTTTTTTTTAAATTGCTACATTCTACTTTATGCAGAGATAACATTGGCTGCTGGGGTAAATGTCATGTCTGTCTTGCAGCTAGAGGAGTAGGTTTGATTAAACGAAAACAGAATAAAAGACCCCTCTCTCTATTGGTGACTTGGTGGAGAGGATGAGGATTTGAACGCACCACAGGGACTGACTTCACCTCTCATCTCTACAGGTAGAACCTGCTTCCCTAGAAAGCAGAGGTAAAATTCCTACAGCCAGATCCTATTCCCCCTCGTAGGCATCTCTTAAGTGTGACTGTATTTCATCTTGCTCAAGTCCCTGAAAAGCTATTAATGCAGAAGATAGGTGGGGTCTCCTCCTTGTTTTTTGTGACTTAGTGTTAAGGCTAAGATGAAGGCATGTTATAAAGATAGACATGTTAATGGTTTCAAGGGGCTTGAACAGAATGGAATAAGATTGCACTTAGTGGCTTTGATGTCTAAGTACCACTTAGATGCCTACTACATGAAACAGAATCTGACTTTTAGTGGGTAAAATCCATCCCTGTGCAGAAGGTTGGCGGCAGGAGGCCAGTGCTTCACTTGCACCTTGTTTTGAAGGCTTATGTGGGATGTAAGCACAGGCTGGCATTCTTGGGGAGGATTAAACCCAGGGAGAGTACAATCTGGGGAGCTTTTGAGGAGATTTCATTAGGTTGGGTTGGAGACTTATTGGCTGGGGGAGGTAGAAGAAGCTGGAAAAGCTGTTGCAAAAGCTGTGTCCCATCGTTGAATAAGTAGCAAATGTTTTACTCTCTCAGGCTGGAAATTCAAGATAGTGCAGCAGCAGCATCATGAGACTAGGAACATAATTTCCATGCTGTATCAGACCAGAGCCTTATCTAGCCCAGTCTCCTGTCTCCAGCAGCGGTCAGACCCAGATATCTGGGAGGAAAACCCAGGGACCTTGCAATAGTCAGTCCCAACCTACCCTGAATGAATATTGCTTTAGTTAATTCATCAAGAAAGACATTTTAAAAAAAGAGAAGTGAAAAAGGCATTCAAGTGCAGCTATACCTTGTCACATGGAGTGTACCAGGTCTGCAGATGGTGTAAATTGGCATATATCCACTGAAGCCAGTGGAGCTGTATCAGTTTCTGCCAGCTGAGGATTTACCCCAGTCTTTCCAGTTGGTTCCAGTTGGGCATGCGCGTGATGATAAATGGGATTTCTGTCAACATTTTTTGGAGACTGTCCTTTTAATATGCTAAACCAAAGGATAAGTGGTAATTACTGTACCTAAAAATGGTGGATTTTACCCTCCTGCTTACAATGGGCTGCAGGTGTTTCACAGCCAGCACAAGTTAACAAGGACAGGCGTCTTGGCCGAATGCCAACATGATAAAATCGTCCAGGGGGAGAGGGGGAAAGAAAGAAAGAGAGAAAGAAATCACAAGAGTCATTCCATGCTGAGGTTTTGTGCTTCTGTGTTTCCTGAAATGAATACAGCGGTCAGTAATCAAAGGTTTAAAAAGTCATTCAGCCCCGCCTGCATGCCCTCCAAATTAGAATACAAACCATCTGCACGGCGGGATGGAGTGCCCTTGAAAGACAGCCCTTCAGATCCTGACATCCATTACACCAAGGGAAGCAGGAGTAACTCCACTGACGTTACCGAGTCCCCTGGATTTCGGATTCTGGCCGTGTGTGCGCGCCTCTGCCAGAATAACATTTGGGGCCCAACCCTTTTATATGGTATCACCATAGTAATAGGCGTCTCTTCGCCAGAGCTGATGAGGCATCTCTGCAGGATTGTCTAACTTTAATTACTCCCTCTCAGCCAAA